ATTTCAGAGATGATTTGAATCAGGGTTTTAAAATATGCATACATTGCATCTGGTTGAAATCCTCTTTTTTCCTTTTTTTTTATTGAGTTCATAATACTTTATATCACTGTGAATGCAATCCCAATTACAATCGCAACAAAAAGAATAAAATATCTGGGAATAAATTTAACCAAGGAGCTAAAGGACTTATACAATGAAAACTATAAGACATTATTGAAATAAATAGATGATGACATAAAGAAATAGAAAGAGATTCCATGCACATGGATCAGAAGAATAAATATAGTTAAAATGTCTATACTACCCAAAGCAGTCTACAGATTCAATGCAATCCCAACCAGAATCCTAATGACATCCCTCACAGAAATAGAACAGAGAATCTTAAAATTCATAAGGGGCAACCAAAGACCCCAAATAGCTAAAGTAAGCCTGAGAAAAAAGAACAAAGCTGGAGGTATCACAATCCCTGACTTCAAAATGTACTACAAAGCCATAGTAATCAAAACAGCATGGTACTGATACAAAAAAGGCACACAGATCAATGGAACAGAACTGAGAGCCCAGCAATAAAACTGCACATTCATGAACAGCTAATCTTCAACAAAGGTGCCAAGAACATACAATGCAGCAAAGATTATCTCTTCATGGGGCTGGCCCAGTGGTGCAGCGGTAAAGTTCGCACGGTCCGCTTCTCGGCTGCCCGGGGTTCGCTGGTTTGCATCCCAGGTGCAGACATGGCACTGCTTGGCACTCCATGCTGTGACAGGTGTCCCACATATAAAGTAGAGGAAGATGGGCACGGATGTTAGCTCAGGACCAGGCTTCCTCAGCAAAAAGAGGAGGACTAGCAGTAGTTAGCTCAGGGCTAATCTTCCTCTGGAAAAAAAAAAAAAAGAGATTATCTCTTCAACAAATTGTTTTGGAAAATGTGAACAACCACTTGCAAAAGAATGAAAATAGACCATTACCTCACACCATACACAAAAGCAAACTCAAAATATATCAAAGACTTGAAGATAAGTCCTGAAACCATAAAGCTCCTGGAAGATAATACAGGTAATATACTCTTTGACTTCGAAATGCCATGTCTTCTCAGACAAGGGAAACAAAAGAAAAAATAAACAAGTGGGACTTCATCAGACTAAAGAGCTTCTGCAACACAAAGAAAACTAGGATCAAAACAAAAAGGCAACTCACCAATTTGGAGAAAATATTTGCAAATCATATATCCAACAGGGGGTTAATCTCCGTAATACATAAACTCACACAACTGAACAACAAAAAAACAAACAGCCTGATCAAAAAATGGGCAGTGGATATGAGTTGACATTTTTCCAACTACTACATTCTTGATCTCAGTGTCAACAATTTGTGATCTCTATTATTGAGACCATGGGGCAAGTCCTGAACATCCCCAATTTGAGCTAAGTACTGGGTTCACCAAAATCTAGACAACCTGCTCACTGATTGTGAATAATCCTTGGAATTTCTAACCTGGTGGCTTTCAGTAGGGTCATCATATGTGCTTACAGGAGATCTACTGTGAGAAGAGAGGGCCTACACCAGGCTGTTGGGGTATGTAAGGAATCCCTTAGATGTGTAAATCGCTTTGGTTAGTATTGCCATCTTAATATCAAGTCTTTCATTTATGAAAGTGATTTTCTTTCTGTATATCTGGTCTTCTTTAATTTCTTTAAACAACTTTTAGTATTTTTATTGTACATATCTTTTGCCCCATTAGTTGTTATTCCAAAGTATTTTATTCATTTTCATGCTGTTATAAAGGTAATTGTTTTTATAAATTGCATTTTCAGATTGCTCTTTGTTGGTGTATAGAAATGTAATTGATTTTTCTGCATTGCTTTTGTATTGTGCACCTTTGCTGAGATTATCTATTAGTTCCAACAGTTTCTCATTTGATCTTTAGGGTTTTCTACATATAAGATCATGCATCTTGGAACAGAGATGATTTTACATTTTAATTTCCATTTTGGATGCATATAATTTCTTTTTCTTGTCTTATTACTATAATAGGAACTTGCAACACTATGCAGACTATGAGTGGCAAAAGAGGCTAAATTTTTCATATTACTCATCTTAAGGGGAAATATTTTTTTCCCTGTGTGATGTTACTTGTGGCTTTTTCATGTGTGCTTCATTGAGGAAGATTCTCTTTCTAGTTTGTTGATTTTTTTTCTCATGAAACGGTATTGTTTTGTGAAATGCTTTTTCCACATCAACTGAGATGATCATGTCATTTTCTTAAATCCTATTAATGAGGTATATTGCATTTAACAATTTTTATATGTTAAACAATCGTTACATTCCAGGAATGAATCCCACTTGGTCATGGTGTAAAATTTTTAGTATGCTGCTGATTTCAGTTTCTAATTTTTTTTTTTTTTGAGAATTTTTAGTTCTCAAATCATAGGGAATATTTGTCTTTAGTTCATTTTCTCATAGTATCTTTGTTTGGCTTTGTATCAAGGTAATGCTGGCCTCATATAATGAACTAGAAAGTATTCCATGCTCTTCAATTTTTTGCAAGAGTTAAGAATGATTGTTGTTAATTCTACCTTAAATGCTTGGTGGAATTCATTAGCAAAGCAATCCGTCCCTGGGCTTTTCTTTGTTGGGAGGTTTGTGATTACTGATTCAGTCTCCTTAATAGCTATAGGTCTACTCAGGTTTTCCATTCCTTCATGACTCAGTGTTTGTAAATTATGTGTTTCTAGGAATTTTCCATTTCATCAGAATTTCTCAATTTATTAGCATACAGTTGGTCATAGTACTCTTTTTTTTCTATTTTCTTATTGATCTTCTGTCTAGTTGTATTTTCCATGATTGAAAGTGGGGTATTGAAGTTTCCAACTAATTTTATAGGGTGTCTATTTCTCCCTTCAATTCTGTCAATGTGGTTTTTACATATTTTGGAGCTCTGATGTTTGGTACATATGTGTTTATAATTCTTCTATATTCTTGGTGGATTGACACTTTTATCAATATATAATATCCATTTTTTTGTCTCATATCACAATTTTTATCTTAATTTTTTTTGTCTGTAACTGATATAGCCACACCAGCTCTCTTTTTTGTTACTATATGCATGGAATATGCTTTACCATTTTTCCCTTTCAAACTGTTTGTGTCCTTAAACCTGAAGTGAGTATCTTATAGAGAACATATACTTGATTCTGCTATTTTAAACACGCTCTGCCAATCTGTACCTTTTGATGGGTGGAGTTTATTTACATGTAAATTATTTACTAATAGGGAAACACTTCGATTTTATTTTTTTCCATGTGACTTAAGTTGCTTATTTCCTCCAGTAATACCTTCCTTTGGGTTTAGAGGGTTTTTGGTAGTGACATATTTTCATCCCTTCTCACGTTCAATTGAATATATTCTATTGTTACTTTCTTTCTGGTTACCATGGGGATTATGGATAATATTGTAAAGTTATAATAATCTATTTTTAATTGATACTCGTTGAACTGCAGTGCCATGGAAAACTCTGTTCCCATACAGCTCTTTCTCTTCTCCTAATTATGCTACTGATATCACCAATTTCATCTTTATGCATTGTGTACATATCAATGTAGATGCATAACTAGTTTTATGCATTCATCTTTTAAATTTTATAGAAATGAAAAAATAGTTACAATCCGAGATTATGAAAGTACATGACTTTATGTTTGCACATATATTTACCTATACTGGAGGCCTTTTTATCTTTATATGAATTTGATTTTCTTTTAATGTCCTTTTATTGAATCTTAATGACTCCCTTTACATTTCTTGTAGGGCGGTTCTAGTAGTAATGAGGTCTTTCAGCCTTTGTTCATTTGACATTGTCTTAATTACTCCCTTATTTATAACAGATATTTTTGCCTAATATGGAATTCTTGGTTTTCAGGGTTTTTTCTTTCTTTTAGAACTTGAAATATGTAATCTCAATACCTTATATCACCCAAGGTCTCTGATGAGAAATCTGTTGATAATCTTATCCAGGATCTCTTGTACCTGATGAGTCACGTTTCTTTTGCTCCTTCAAGAAAGTCCCTGGACTTTGTTTTCAACAGTTTGAATATCATGTATGTAGGTGTGGATATCTTTGAGTTATCCTACCTGTAATTCTTTGAATTTCTTGGATTTGTTGATGATAAGTGTTTTACATCCAGTTTCGGGAGTTTTTGTTCATTATTTCTTCTCCAGATAATCTCTCTGTCCCATCCTCTCTCTCTTCTCGCTCTGGCACTCTGATAATGTGTATATTAGTCCTCATGATGGTTATCTATAAGTCAGTTTAGGGTCAGTTCATGTTTCTTCATTTTGTTTTTTCTCTTCCTTGGGCTCCACAATTTCTATATCTATTTCATATTATCATTTTATTTGTATATGATTTATCTGAATTCCTTTAGTTTTACATCAATTTTTGCTTTAGCAATTTGAGCATACATAAGACAGTTGTATTAAAACTCTTTCTCTACTAAGTCCAATGCGTATGCTTGTTCAGGAACATTTTCTGCCAGTTTTTTTTCTTTTTAATCAATAATGGTTTTGGGTTTTTTGGTACGTTTATGTGTATGTTTAATGGGGCATTAGAAAAAACACTCACCTCTCCCAGTAATTGCAGATTTGTTCTGTGAACTGACAGTGTTTCACTTCTTAGCTTGGCATACTCCTAGTCTTGAGATCAGCCCAACATGAAATGTGAAAGTCTATTCTGTTCTTTTGGGATCATGTATCTTGCCTGGCCTGTGTGTGGATTTTTTAACTCCCCTGAATACATGGGTGATTTATGAACGTCTGAATATCCCAAAAATACATACTCCAGATCATCCTCAGTGCTTTATGTGGTCTATTCTATGTCTTCACTCTTAATCTCTTGCCTCTGGCAAGAAACTATAGATCTGTGAATCTACAGTCCCCCTGCAGCCAAATGAGCCATTCCAGCTACCTTTCAGCTCAATCTTAGAGTCCGGCAAAACAGAAAGCAGTCTTTCAGGCAGCCCCCAAATAGCTTAGAACATTGCAAATCAGATCTCTGATCACTCTGGTTTGAGGGAGGTAACTGGGCAGTGGGGTAATGGCTCTTACAGACCAATTCAGCGCTGTGCCAGGAAGGAGGAGGGGCAAGGGTGAGTCAAAACATGGTGAAATTTCCTATCACTTTTAATAATGGCTTTTTCCTGAGTGCTCATTTTATTCCTGTAGATCTTTGACAATTTTCCACAGCTCCTATAAGGTTATTTCAGCTAGTTTGTGGTTGTTTCCTTATGTTCCCATGGGAGAACTCAGAGTTTCTAGTCCACCATTTTGCTGACATCACCTTGTGTGTTCAATTTTCAATGACTTAATAATATTTCATAGTATCAATGCATCATGATTTCCCTAACTGTTCCCAAGTTGATTGTAATGTAAGTTGTTCATAGATTTTTCTTTCATGAATCCTGTTGAGCAAGGTAATAAATTATGTAAAATATTTCTCAGTTCTTCTGGTACTTACATCATGATAGTTTTCTAAAAGTGATATAACTGGGTGAAATTTATAAACACTCTGAAATCCTGTTTTCATACTGCAACTAATATCCAAAAATTGTTAATAATTAAGAATCCCCTTGCCAAAAGATCTTTCAAAATTACACCCTTGTTAGGACAGTATATTCTTTTTATAAAGCAAGGAAGAAAGAAACAAAAAGAATTCTGCTGATGGCAAAGGTAAAAAGGCAAATATTCTTTCAATTTGAAGTTTTAATTCTTTATTAAGGGTCAGAATTTTGAAAAATGCTGATTAATCATTCCTCTAAATTGGGTGTGTGTGTGTGTGTGTGTGTGTGTAAATGGAGTAAGATAGTTAATTGTCTCAAATAATTTCTGATCAAGAAGGGGCTTATTGGGGCTAGCCCTGTGGCTGAGTGGTTAAATTCATGTGATCCACTTTGGGGGGACAGGGTTTCACTGGTTTGGATCCTGGGCATGGATTTGGCACTGCACATCAAGCCATGCTGAGGCAGTGTCCCACATAGCACAACCAGAAGGAGCTACAACTAGAATATACAACTATATGCTGAGGGCTTTGGGGAGAAGAAGAAAAAGAAGAAGAAGGAGGAGGAGGAGGGGGAGGAGCAGGAGAAAAAGGAAGATTGGTAACAGATATTAGTTCAGGTGCTAGTCTTTAAACAAAAGATGGGCTTAATCATGGCAAATAGAAAGAGATTGACATCTGGAGGTTTCTAGTCTAAAATACAGTCAATATTATTGTTCAGCAAGTCTCTTGTAATAATTACAGTGTACGTGGATCCTGAATGAAAAATTTACTGTGTAAGAAATTAAAGATTTCTTTACTTCTATATAATAGTTCATTAAGTTTCCTCTTTGACAACAAACAAACACATTAACTGGCTCCAATTTTCTTCTCATTCCATGGCTTAATCTTTTGTCCATGCTTCTCCCACAATCCTTTTGCTAATAGCTGGACTATGGACTTGGGTGTTACCTTCCTGTTATTCATATAACTTGTGAGGGCAGAAGAATAAAACAGTCTGTTTTGATAGAGGAACAACAGGCAATGGATCCCAAAGGTTGGCGTGTGGAGCTAAACGATGGTCACTTCATTCCTGTCCTAGGATTTGGCACCTTTGAAGGTGAAAAGGTAAGAATAGTGGTCATGTATTTAAGGATTCAAAAGAAAAAAGACCTATCATGAGTGGAAGCTGACTGGGGTTGTCAAGTCATGGAAATCCTGTGTGGCTTTACCAGGCTTATTTGGTTCTTCTAACCAGGCTGGAACCATCGTTTATACAAAGAGACTATGTAGCCAGGGTTCAATATGCATTGGAGTCTAATCATGTGGTCACCTACAGATTATTGTGGATTCTCCTCCAGGTCCTATCTATTTCCCAGCTTGGCAAGAGAGATGAAACTCAGAAGTCAAGAATACTGATTATCATGTGCATTGCTTTGAGTATGATTACATGGGAGTGGTTTCTCTGCATATTTCTGGAATTCAAAAAATCTTTCCCCCCAACAAGAAGACATGATCCAGAGAAAGATTTGTAGTTAGAGTTCCTGGAGATGAGGTGAATGACAAATGATGGGAGAGAGTTGCTGTTCTGCTCTGGGGTAGGCTGCTGAGTGCCAGGCAAAACATACTGTGCCTGTAGTTTCCTTCATACTCCTCCTTTTGCTTGGGAATTTATCCAGAATAGAAAATATGGTATCATTTGAAAGAATAATCTTCAGTCTTCCAGGAAAAGTTTCAAGATTTGGTCCCTTGTTACTGTACATTTGGTTGAAGCAAATAGGTTGAGTTGGACCTTAGAAATAAGAGTAAACAAGTGGACAAGTCACTAGACTGTAAACCAGAATGTTTCCATCCAATTCTGTCTTTAGACAAGCTGTATGACAAGGGACGAGTGCTTAAACTTTGAGTCTCACTTTCTCATCTATAAAACAGAAGGAAATATTCAAAGAGATGTTTTGGAAACAGATGACAGGGCTTGTTTACTTTGTAGTGAAAAGTGAGATGAAGGGGAGGCAAGGGTCAGGGGTACCACTAAAGCTTCAGCTTCCATAAACTTCTCAAGGCCTTTACATGTCAGGAAAGAGCATGAACAGCAGAGGGAAGTTAGACCATATACCTAGTTCCTAGCAACATCATTGAATAAAGAAAACTTCTGAAATACTTAAAAAGAAATGGAATACTATTCAGCCTTAAAATAGAAGGAAATTCTGCCATTTGCAAGCTCATGGATGAAGCTGAAGGACGTTATGCTAACTGAAATAAGACCTACACAGAAAGAAAAATACTGCATGATGTCACTTGTATATATATGGAATCTAAAAATGGGAAACACATAGAAGCAGAGAGCAGAGGAGTGGTGACCAGGGGCTGGGGAAGGGGCAGTAGGAGAAATGGGGAGAGGTTGGTCATAGGATACAAATGTCAGTTATAAGATGAATCAGTTCTGGAGAACTAATGTATAACGTGGTGGCTATACTTAACGATAATGTATTATATTCTTGAGATTTGCTAAGAGAGGAGATCTTAAGTGTTCTCACTCCACATGTAAAGAAGTTATCTGTATGATGTGATGGGTATGTAATTTAGCTTAATCGTGGTAATCATTTAACAATGTATACATATATGAAAACATCAAATTGTGCAACTTAAATATGTACTTCTTAATACAATTATACTTATATACAATTTTTATTTAGCATGTTCTGTGTGACTACACTAGTATCCTTAGAAGCTATCATCTTGTTTCTTGAGACTTCATTCCATGTATCTTTTCCCTGTGTTGATTTTGCTTATAACCTCTTGAAATATAAATCATATCCATGACTACAACTATATGCTGAGTCCTTAGTCTTCTTTCTGCAAATCGCTGAACCAGGGGATGGTCTTAGGAACCTTGATTGCTAGTGATGAAGCAGTAAATGCCCAGGATTGAAGGGGTTTCCTGGGAAGTCCAGCTTTTATTACTTACAAGGAACGACCCAGGCAGATTGCATTGTGTTCCTCACCACACATGCAGAAGTGACCTAAGACGTGAGGTAAAGGACAAAGTTTGTTCCTTATCTCTCTCTCAATTGAATGAATATCCAACTACTACCTTTGTTTGCTCACCTAGGTTCCTAAAAGCAAACCTACGGAGGACATTAAATTAGGTATAGATGCTGGGTTCAGACATATCGATTGTGCGCATTCATACAGTAATGAAAAGGAGATTGGACTGGGTATCCGAAGCAAAATTGAAGATGGCACTGTGAAGAGAGAAGATTTATTCTGCAGTACAAAGGTGCTGTGTATGTGGTGTGTGTGCACAGGTGTGAACATGATTGTGTGGAGAAGATAATTATGTGACAGAATCAGTAGTTGTTTGGTGAATTGGGCTTATTGGCACAACCTCTTACACATATTCATGTATTAAATTTACTGTCAAAATAGATGATGGCAAGGGCTGGCCTAGTGGTGCAGCAGTTAAGTGCACATGCTCCGCTTCAGCGGCCTGGGGTTCGAGGGTTCGGATCCCAGGTGCAGACCCAGCACCACTTGGCAAGCCATGCTGTGGCAGGTGTACCACATATAAAGTAGAGGAAGATGGGCACGGATGTTAGCTCAAGGCCAGTCTTCCTCAGCAAAAAGAGGAAGATTGGCAGCAGATGCTATCTCAGGGCTAATCTTCCTCAAAAAAAAAAGAAAGAAAGAAAGAAAAAGATGATGACTTTCTGCTCCTTGCTTTGTCCACATCTTTTGATTTTAAGGTAAAGTCAATTTACTTTTCTGAGGCTCAGGCCATATCAGTGTGATTTTGCATTGAATAAGGCAGAACTGTGATGAAATTATAGCCCTTCTTATTATCTGGGTGACTTACTAAAATTTCTTAGTATTCTGAACCTCAATTCTAAACTCCACCAGTAAGACAGGTAAATACAAGAGGCACTTTGTGTATTAAACAAGATATAGCCAAAGTGTCTCGAATTGTGTCCAGCCCCTATTAATGTTTTCAAAGCACTTTTTCCCTACAGTTATCGAAACAAAAGAGATACCGCTTATTCCCCACATGACTGGACATTTGGTAGAATTAGGCTATGTTTGTAAACTGCTTTGTAAACTCCATCAAGCGGAATTCAGATAATGGGCATGGTTATTATTTGGTAGCACATTTTGTCTCTTGGTTCATTTCACTCCATTGTTAGTAGATGTACTGATGATAAACCCAAACAAATAATGGAATTTCTGTGGGTAATTCAGATCAAAAAGGAACCCAAGAAGGAAAAAAAGCATTTTTCCTCTGTGGTCATCAGCTTCCAACCAGTAGAAAAATGTCTAATTATTATGTGAAACAAGAAAAACAAAACTGACTGAAGTATTAATCAAACACAACTTCCATTCTTTTAACTTCTGCAGCTTTGGTCCACTTTCCTTCGACCAGAGTTGGTCCAACCAGCCTTGGAAAACTCTCTGAAAAATCTTCAACTGGACTATGTTGATCAGTATATTATTCATTATCCAGTGGCTCTGAAGGTTGGCAATTTGGGTGATCACACCTATTTTACTACTTGGGTCACAATGTGTATTTACTTGCATGGATGATTGAATTAAGATTTTACTTATAAGGATGTAGGCATTATTACACTAGAGAAGAATTTCCAGAACAGTCATTCCTCATTAGCTGTTTATGTCCTTTTTTTGAATCCTCAATTTCCTTACCATGCCTCCCAGAGAAAAGGGTTGAACAAGCTCAAGTCCTCTGCCTCAAAAACTTGAGGAAATAAAAATAGGCATCTTCAATATGCAGTCCTATTCATGACTCCTGAGCTTCTTGGGGATGTCACAAACACAGTTTCATGCAGCTGTGTTGAGCAGTGAAACTGCTGTATCCTTGGGCATAATGAGTTGATCTCCTCTTTTGCCATTTCAAGTGGGAAGCAGATATGATGGTGACACCTCTGGGTGGCTCTAAAACTAGCCGCCTTCATGGCATTTGTGACACCTTGACTACACCATTGGCTATCTTCGCAATGGAATTTTGTAGACTGCACTTAACCATTAATTAGTGTGTTATGTATAATTCTTCATTGTAAGTTACAGAGAGCTACTCAAGCTCTCCTATGCAGAAGTTTATTGGTCTATGTCAATGGGAAGTCCATGACATGGATAGATTTAAGAATTTGGAATAGTCTTCAGAAATATCTCCTCTCCCCTATCTCTTAACTTTGCATTGCTATTGGTTTGCTTTATTTTTGTTACAACATTTTCCACTGATGGCAAATATGGCCATGGGACATTGCAAGGCAAGTGTTCATTTATACTTGAGAGTGTCTCTGAATCTTTCAGCATCCATAATAATCCTTAAGAGAATTTTCAATCAATGTTTGGTTCATGTGCCTGCCCTTGGACCATTGAAAACTGGGAGGGTTAAGGAACTCTGATTGTCTAGTCTGGGCCAAGATTGCAATAGTTATTCTGGAAATAAGGCCATGTATCTTACTGTCATCCCAGTGCTATGGAAGCTTTATGTAAGAAGAAAGTATAGGGAGCAGTAACATAAGTCACAATGAGTCCACAAGAGGACCTTGGGAAGTAGTATTTATTAAAACATATAATAAATGTAAGAGATTGGAGGAAGCCTGCTTCCTAAAGACATTCCTTACAGCTCCATAAACAAATAACATCAGAAATATTAATATCTAGAATGTTACACACCCACCTCATGTAGGTTTAGTTTCTGGCTCTAGATGGACCTGACAGCCTAGCTAAGTGTGGGGAAATTATCTTATGACATCACTAACATAGCTACTTCTATTCCAGCCAGGGGAGGAACTTTTTCCAGAAGATGAACATGGAAAACTGATATTTGACACAGTGGATCTCTGTGCCACATGGGAGGTGAGTGCTTGAGGAGAGAGCACAGAGGAGAAAGACAGAAGGTAATCTAGTTAATTTCTTCCACTTGTGAGAATGGGCTATGCACTTTCAGATTTAGAAGTTAATTAAAATAATGGGTATGCTGTAGTCATGTGTAGGAAATAATTACTGAAATGTTTATAGAGAGGAACAGAGGAGGAGAATTTGGGACAATGAGGATAGGCATCTCTTTTCTTCAATGTGTAATACTCTTTCACATTTTTCTAAGTAGAAGACTGTAATTCTTACTCTTGCTGTCACTGCATTCTTTCCCTATTTAATTTACTAGATTTTCTCTTCTTGATAATCATGCCAATTGGGTTCATTGTGGTGTCTCGATAGTTGTTCCTTGTAACAGATTTTTTTTCTTCCATATTTTCTTGGTTTATAGCTATTTTAACAAATGATTCTTCATCATCGCTTCCTCCACAGGCCATGGAGAAGTGTAAGGATGCAGGATTGACCAAGTCCATTGGCGTGTCCAACTTTAATCGCAGGCAGCTGGAGATGATCCTGAACAAGCCAGGGCTCAAGTATAAGCCTGTCTGCAATCAGGTGAGCACCCTTGGTCTCATCTTCTTTCTGCACTTCACCTCCTTCTTCTTACACTATTGTCAGATGTCTATTCTCCCTACCTTTTTGGAAGAGAATATGGTAAAGAGCAGAGCCTCTGTCTAGATTGGCATGAATAGAACTCATAATTGTACCTCTGTTTTGTAAAGTCTTTGTGAACAAACTGGTGAGACTTTAGTTCTAAATTGCACATGAGAATTTAGGGAAGGTATAGGAGGTAATGGAGGGCTAAAATAGTTACCAGACCTTAGAGGGCAGGTGACGTTTCCCTCAGCTGTCAAGTAAAGCCAGAAATTGGATGGGTGAGTGATTTGGAGGGTATTAGGTACATCATGATGATCATGAAAACATGGAATGGGCAGTAAATAAGGAAAGAGAGAATATAAGATGAAGGCGATGCCAGGGATTTTTGTGCCATTTGAATACCTGGATTCTTCATCTTGGTATCTCTGTTTTCAGGGGTCTTCTAGTGGGATGCATGGATATAAGAAAAATTAGCTGTAGATTATGAAAGTCGTCTAGGCTAGAGGGATGGTTTATAGTGATACTAGTGTTGGACAAAATCAACATTCAGGAACATTTAGCGGGAACATAGAGCAGACCTTGTGATTTACTCAGTCTTTGTCTGGTTCTCATCATTGACTTATACCCTTAAATGAATTGTTTAGATACATTATTCTGTGTCTGGTTCTGTGCTTCTACTTTTTTTTTGTTCTATTATTTTTAATTATGAAAAGAATGCTTAGCAGATTGTTCATTTTAGACAGATAATTTTAGATTCCTCATATACCTGGTATCATGTAGTAGTTGTCCTGTTGTGCATGTCTCATTTCATTTGCCGTATGTCCCCAGGGTATAACTTGGAGTCAAGGAGTAAGAGTCTTTGATTGCAAAATCTGGCCTATAAAATTCAAGAAATTGACATAGTGTTATAACATTATTGATTTTCAATTATAAATGTTAAAATACTCATGTAATTCTAATATTAGTTTTACTCCCAATTAATATTATAAAAATTTTCAGATATTCAGAGAAGTGAAGAGTATGATACACAACATACAGCTTTTCCCTCCTATATCCAAAATTGTTCACATTTTGCCACATTGGCAAATATATGTATATATATGTGTATATATCTGCATACATATATGTAACATTTTGGCAACCTTCTTCAAAGTAAGCTATAGACATGATAATTCACCCCTACAGACCTCAGAAAGATTATCATCTAGTAGCCAATCCAAATGTGTCTTTCAATGTCATTTATTGATCTTCTTTTCTAATGAGGAGCCAATTGTGGTCCACATATTACTTTCAGTCATGTGTCACTCTCAATCTAAAATAGTCACTCAACCCTTTTTATACCGTGACATCCAGACAGGTTTCTGTGAAATGTTCTGGATTTATCTGATTGTTATCTGGAGATGTTAATTAACTTGTTTCTTTATCCCCAGTTTCTGTAAATCAGAAGTTATATCTGAATGCCTTATAACATTAAGGTTAAATATTTATGGCAAAAAAAAAAATCCTTTGCATGCTGTGTTCCTCACCTCACACTCCATTGGGAAACCCATCATGACAAGTTGTCCCACTAGGAGAGATCTTAGTTTTATTCTCTTGGTTAAGCTAGTGGTAGCCAGGTCTTTTCTTTGTAAATGTGTATTTTCCCCTTTGAATTTACCTAGTATTCTGGTGGGTGGTGATTGTCATCAGGGGAAGTCATATTGCCCCAAAGTTTTCACAGAATGGTTGAGTAGCCAGCAATGATTTTACCATCAAATAGTTATTTCATTGAGATTTATAAATAATCGTTTTAAATTTTTTCTCCTTTTTAGTTAATTAATTTTCATTTTTTTATTGAGTTCATAATAGTTTATATAAATGTGAGATTTCAGTTGCACATTATTTTTTGACTATCACCACATAAATTCTCCCCCTCACCTCCTGTGCCCACCCTCCATCCCTTCCCCTGGTAACCACTGAACTGTTTTCTTTGCCCATGTATTTGTTTATATTCCACATAGGAGTGAAATCATCTGGTGTTTGTCTTTCTTAGACTGGCTTATTTCACTTAGCATAATTCTCTCCAGGTCCTTCCATGTTATTGCAAATTGGATGAATTCGTCTTTTTTTCTGGCTGAGTAGTATTCCTTTGTATATATATACCACATCTTCTTTATCCAATCAGTCGATGGGCACTTGGATTGTTTCCATATCTTAGCTATTGTGAATAGTGCTGCAATGAACATACGGGTGCATATGTTACTTTGGACTGTTGATTTCAAATTGTTTAGGTAGCTACATAGTGGTGAGATAGCTGGGTCGTATGGTAGTTCTATTTTTAGCTTTTTGAGGACTCTCCATACTGTTTTCCATGAGGGTTACCTTTTCCCCACACCCTCTTCAACATTTGTTATTTTTAGTCTTAGTTATTATACTCATTTTAACAGGTGTAAGGTGGTATCTTAGTGTAGTTTTGATTCGCATTTCCCTGATGATTAGTGATGTTGAAGATCTTTTCATGTGTTTGTTGGCCATCTGTATATCTTCTTTGGAGAAATGTCTGTTCATATCCTCTACCCATTTTTTGATCGGGTTGTTTGTCTTTTAATTGCTCAGTTGTGTGAGTTCCTTATATATTATGGAGATTAAGCCCATGTCAGATATATGACTTGCAAATATTTTCTCCCAGTCAATGGGTTGTCTTTTTGTTTTGATTCTAGTTCGTTTGACTTCCAGAAGCTCTTTGGTCTGATGAGCTCCCACTTGTTTATTTTTTCTTTTGTTTCCCTTGTCTGAGAAGACATGGTATTTGAAAAGATCCTTTTTTGTTCAATGTCAAACAGTGTACTACTTACATTATCTACCAGGAGTTTTACGGTTTCAGGACGTATCTTCAAGTCTTTGATCCATTTTGAGTGTATTTTTTTGTATGGCATGAGGTAGTGGTCTACCTTCATTCTTTTGCATGTGGCTGTCCAGTTTTCCCAACACCATTTATTGAAGAGACTGTCTTTTCTCCATTGTATGTTCTTGGCACCTTTGTCATAGATTAGCTGTCTGTAGATATGCTGTTTTATTTCTGAGCTCTCAGTTCTGTTCCATTGATTTGTGTGCCTGTTTGGGGACCAGTATCACACCATTTTGTCACTATGGCTTTGTAGTACATTTTGAAGTCAGGGGTTGTGATACCTCCAGCTTTGTTCATTTTTCTCAAGATTGCCTTAACAATCTGGGGTCTTTGATTGCCCCATACGAATTTTAGGATTCTTTGTTCTACTTCTGTGCAGAATATCATGGGGATACTGATTTGGATCGCATTAAATCTGTAGATTGCTTTGGGTAGTATGGACATTTTAACTATGTTTATTCTTCCAATCCATGAGCAAGGAATCCCTTTCCATCTCTTACAGTTATCATTGTATAAGTCCTTCACTTCCTTGGTTAAATTTATTCCTAGGTACTTGATTCTTTTAGTTTTGATTGCAAATGGAATTGTATTCTTGAGTTCTCTTTCTGTAAGTTTGTTATTGGAGTATAGAAAAGCAAGTGATTTTTGTAAGTTGATTCTGTACCTTGCAACTTTACTGTAGTTGTTAATTATTACTATTAATTTACTGATTGGTTTTTTGGAGATTTCTAATATGTAAGATCATGTCGTCTGCAAACAGTGAGAGTTTCACTCCTTCACTCCCTATTTGGAATCCTTTTTTTGCTTTCTCTTGCCTAATTGCTCTGGCCAAAACTTCCAGTACTATGTTAAATAAGACTGATGATAGTGGGCATCCTTGTCTTGTTTCTGTTCTCAGGGGAATGGCTTTCAGTTTTTGCCCATTGAGTATGATAATGGCTCTGGGTTTGTCATATATGGCCATTATTATGTTGAGGTAATTTCCTTCTATCCCAACTTTTTAAGAGTTTGTTTTTTTTTTAATTAATGTTATGATAGATTACAACCTTGTGAGATTTCAGTTGTACATTTTTGTTAGTCATGTTGTGGGTACACCACTTCCCCCTCTGTGCCCTCCCCCCACCCCCCCTTTTCCCTGGTAACCACCGATCAGATCTCCTTATCAATATACTAACTTCCACCTATGAGTGGAGTCATATAGAGTTCGTCTTTCTCTGACTGGCTTATTTCGCTTAACATAATACCCTCGAGGTCCATCCACGTTGTTGTGAATGGGCCAATTTTGTCTTTTTTTATGGCTGAGTAGTATTCCATTGTGTATATATACCACATCTTCTTTATCCAATCATCAGTTTCTGGGCATGTAGGCTGGTTCCACATCTTGGATATTGTAAATAATGCTGCGATGAACATAGGGGTGCAACGGACTCTTGAGATTTCTGATATCAGGTTCTTAGGATAGATACCCAGTAATGGGATGGCTGGGTCATAGGATATTTCTATTTTTAACTTTTTGAGAAATCTCCATACTGTTTTCCATAGTGGCTGTACCAGTTTGCATTCCCACCAACAGTGTATGAGGGTTCCTTTTTCTCCACAACCTCTCCAACATTTGTCACTCTTGGTTTTGGATGTTTTTGCCAATCTAACGGGTGTAAGGTGATATCTTAGTGTAGTTTTGATTTTCATTTCCCTGATGATTAGCGATGATGAACATCTTTTCATGTGTCTATTGGCCATATTCATATCTTCTTTTGAGAAATGTCTGTTCATGTCCTCTGCCCATTTTTTGATCGGGTTGTTTGTTTTTTTGTTGTTGAGCTGTGTGAGTTCTTTGTATATTATGGAGATTAACCCTTTGTCAGATAAGTGGCTTGTAAATATTTTTTCCCAATTAGTGAGCTGTTTTTTTGTTTCAATCCTGTTTTCCCTTGCCTTGAAGAAGCTCTTTAGTCTGATGAAGTCCCATTTGTTTATTCTTTCTATTGTTTCCCTCAACTGAGGAGTTATAGTGTCTGAAAAGATTCTTTTGAAACTGATGTCAAAGAGTGTACTGCCTATATTCTCTTCC